TACCAAAGAAATAATTCTCTGCACTGCGGTCCATACATTTCAATCCCTGTATCTTTAATCTCCTTGTTAATTCTGTCTCTTCCAGAATCGAAGCTGTAAAACTACAAATGGTTCTTAAATACAAATGGAGCCCCAGATGCAGTCCATGACTAAGATCTACCAAGAACCCCTGGACTGGCCTGCTAGCTCATGTTCTGATGTTAATGACATAGAAGGCACCCCTCCCAAGGAAATCTCAACTGCACAACACCTACTATACCCCAGTTCAGCAGAAAGTAGTTAGAGCAGTCGTCAGCCAACCTCCCCAATAGCACTTGGGTTTTCCTGTTGAGAGTGGGGACTGAGAGACAGGACTAGCTGGATTTCTTAGGCCGACTAAGAATCCCTAAGCCTAGCTGGGAAGGTGACTGCATCCACCTTTAAACACGGGGCTTGCAATTTAGCTCACACCCGACCAATCAGGTAGTAGAGAGCTCAGTAAAATGCTAATTAGGCAAAAACAGGAGGTAAAGAAATAGCCAATCATCTATCGCCTGAGAGCACAGTAGAAGGGACAATGATTGGGATATAAACCCAGACATTCGAGCCAGCAACGGCTACCCTCTTTGGGTCCCCTCCCTTTGTATGAGAGCTCTGTTTTCACTCTATTAAATCTTGTAACTGCAAAAAAAAAAAAAAAAGAAATCTGGGCTGCAGATATAAATCTGCTGATCATGGTAAATGAAATTTTAAGAAACTCAATACAAAGTACACAGATAATTTTATATGGGGAGGTGGTTAACGACGGAAGCCAGGAGTAATGTAAGAAGTGGCATCCAGAGAGGTAGGAGGAGGTCTAAGTGGTCTCGTGTAAGGGAAGAAAATAAAAGAGTTCAAGAATGACAAAAGGCCCAACAGTGCTGCCTGGAGGTCACTCAGTCTGAAAAGGGTCCATATAAGCGACTACTACAATCACGTGACTTTGACAAGAACCAAAACTCGCTGAAAATCACTCTGATAAAAATATATCATAATTAATGAAATACTAAAAGTCAATAATATGTTAGGAAATATTCAACTCCACTATTACAGTTTTAAAATGAAAATACTTATCACTTACCTAATTTCAGATATCTAGAAAACTGATGAAATTAGGTAGTTAACATTGTTAAAGGTGTATGTAAATAGGAACTCGTAATTTTTGATAAAATATTAAACATAATGTTCCTTTTGAAGACTTTTTCTCTCTCAGCTAGGTAAATGGAGATAGACATAGATAAAAATGTCTCCATCTTTTATTTAATCCATTAATCCCTTGCTAAGTAGATAAAGATGTAATTAGGTAAAAGCACAAAGATAGGTGCATACAGACACTCATAACTGTTGTTTATAATAGCAACAACTGCAAACAGCCTAAATATTCTTTTTTTTCTTTTCCCGAGAGTTTCACTCTTGTAGCCTAGGTTGGAATGCAATGGCGCGATCTAGGCTCACTGCAGCCTCCAACTCCCAGGTTCAAGGAATTTTCCTGCCTCAGCCTCCTGAGTAGCTGGGATTATAGGCACCCACCACCATGTCCAGCTAATTTTGTATTTTTAGTAGAGACGGGGCTTCTCCACATTGGTCAGGCTAGTCTTGAACTCCAGAACTCAGGTGATCTGCCCACCTCAGCCTCCCAAAGTGCTGGAATTACAAGCGTGAGCCACCACCCCCGGCCTCTAAATATTCTTTAACATCCGTTCGGCTTTAATTCTTTTTAGAATCATCCAGTATAACACTCATGGGTGTGCAAGGCAGCAACATATTGCTGAATAAATACAAATCAGCATGCATAATATCATATTTGCATAATATCATCCATTCTCCAAAGTTTATGAGGTAAAGATAGTTCCTTTTTTTTTTTTTTTGAGACAGGGTCTCGCTCTGTCACCCAGGTTGGAGTGCAGTGGCTCGATCTCAGCTCACTGCAACCTCTGCCTCCTGGGTTCAAGTGATTCTCCTGCCTCAGCCTCTCTAGTAGCTGGGATTGTTATAGGCAGCCGCCACCACGTTCTGTCAATTTTTGTATTTTTTTTTATAGAGACAGGGTTTCACCATGTTGGCCAAGCTGGTCTCGAACTCCTGACCTCAGGTGATCCACCCGCCTCAGCCTCCCAAAGTGTTGGTATTACAGGCGTGAGCCACCATGCCCGGCTGCTAAAGAGATTTCTAGAAGGGAAATAACCAAAATGTTAACAATGATTATTTTCGGGTAATAGGATTTGAGTTCAATATAGGTAGCTGTTATACTTGAATTATCTACAGTCATAATGTAAGCTCTTCATAACAATAAGAACAACAAAACTAATTCATTATGTGGTGAAAACTAGCAATGCAGAATGACAGAAGGCCTAGTAGTCAATTGGGCCATGTACCAAACAGATTGCTTGAAATAAGAGCTCAGAGAAAAAGGAATCTATGGGCAGTTCCACCTCAAGACGGAGGAATGTATGCACATTCTTTTTCAAAGCCAAGGTAGGCTGGCTTAAGCAGTGTTTTCTCAAGGAAAGACAATGATGGCACTTTGGGCAAGGCAATCTTTCATGATGTTGCATGTTCTTTGCATAGCAGAGTAGACACATACCTGCCCTCCCCTCTCAAGTCTTTTTAACAACTGAAACACTTGCACACATTTGCAAACTAAAAATTCCTGGCCTAGGAAATTCGACCATCTCTAGTGATTTACAGCTACCACAGGAACTAACTATAAGAACTCAGATCTAAAAATGACTATGAGAGGAAAAATGGGTGGTTGTTATACTTAATAAATATTAGAATCATCTACTTAATAAATAGTATTCTGAAGCCTTCTTTCCTGATGCCTCTGTTCTAAAAGGTATAGCTTTTATTTTGTTTTTACCTATCTTTAACAATTTCTAATCTTCTATCTTTAATTTTTCTACCTATACTTACAATTTAAATGATTTTTCAAAAACCAGGTTTAAACTATATTTCTTGTAAGTTTTATTTATGGATGAAATGTCATTAATTAAACCTTGGAAATTTATACACTAAGTTACAGTCTTTTGCAGAAATTACCCCTTTTATGGCCCCTCCAAAAACACTGACAGATTATGGACACATGAGAAAGGTGGCTTTTAGGAAAAGCAAAGCGGCCGACTTCATTGTAACGTTAACCAAAGTCCTCCGTCCTATGCCTCTATTAACCAATCATTACTTCACATCCGCATTAATACCATTCCAAATCATAAATCAGGTAAAAATTATAGGCTTCCATTTGTATTTCTATCCACTCTAATAAACATAAACTTATAAAGACTCTATCTTATAAGGAAATATCTCAATAGAATTAAAAATACATAAATATACTACAAGAAGCAATAATGCATGGTTTACCAAGCATACTGCCAGCCACCAGGATATCGAAGAGTGTGTCTGCATAGCGACGATAATCTAATCTTGAGCCTGTAGAGTCCAGAAATTTGGCTACAGCTTCAAGGTCATCACCAGCCTCATTAAGCCCCTGGACAAGTGTATCCCTGAAGACTGTGGGTTCGAATTTCTCTTTTTCATCTAAAATAAAACAATTCAAAATAACAGTCAAATAAATAAATAAATACTGAGAGTATAACAATCAAAACTTAAATTCTATTTTATCTAAGATAGGAAAAAACATCCACAGAGCATCGCCAAAGAATGTAGGAGAATATACAAATATAAACAAACAAATAAAGATGGTGGAGGGGAATAAGAAGGGATGTCTCTTTTAAAATAAGTTACTGCAGGCCAAGTGTGCTAGCTCACGCCTATAATCTCAGCACTTTGGGAGGCAAAGGTGGGTGGATCACCTGAGGTTAGGAATTCGAGACCAGCCTTGCCAAAACAATGAAACCCCGTCTCTATTAAAAATATAAAAAATTAGCTGGGCATGGTAGTGGGTGCCTGTAATCCCAGTTACTTGGGAGGCTGAGGTAATCACCTGAACCCGGGAGGTAGAGGTTGCGGTGAGCAGAGATCATGCCATTGCACCCCAGCCTGGGGGACAAGAGTGAAATGTCGTCTCAAAAAAATAAAAATAAATAAAAAAGAATTTATTGCAGAGTATTTAAATATTTAATAGATGCAATGAGCCATATATGTAGATCTACAGCTTCAGGACACATGTGCTAAACTTTTTGGTCTCATGATCTCTTGACACTTAAAATGTACATTTGTAATTAGGATCCCAACCAAACTTTGGAACTCTAATTCCAAAGTTTTGGATCCTAATCCAAAAACTCTTTGGAATCCTAATTCCCAAGCATTCCAAAGGGAGTTTTTGTTTATGGAGGTTCAATCTATGGATACTTATTTTAAGAAATTAAAACAAAACATCTTATGTATTTATTTAACAAAAAAATTAGTGAGAAGGAGAGTATTGTTTTATACTCTTGCAAATCTCTTTAATGATCGTACATCTTTAAACTCTAGAAAACTCTTCTGTAAAATTATGAGAGAATGTGTGAAAGATGTGAATAATATATTGGTATCATTATAAAAATGGTTTTGATTTTGTGGGGCTTCAGAAGACTGACAGGGATATAGATATGATGCAGCTTTTTTTCCTTAGCAAAGTGGATAAGACAAATACAGAGCAATCACAAAGGCACACACGAAAAGCATAAATGAGCTGTCACAGTGAAATGGACACATGAACCTACAGAAGTAGTTTGGTGTGGTGACTGGAAGTTTGGGTTTGGAAGGAGTTTTGGTCTAGACTCTAGCAAAACTTTGTGGAAGGTCGACTTGAAGCCAGGTCTTGAACAAAGCAGGGATCATACACTGTTGATAAGAAGTGAAGATCACAAACTACATGTCAGATTTGGTGGAAAAAAATTAGTGGATTAAAGGTAAAGTGTCTGTAGTTCAACTCAAAGGACATCACCTTTTTTGCCCACACACATGGAGAATAACTCTGAATGTGAGGAGAGAGGAGCAAAGGATAAACCCAAAACTTCAAAAGAAAAAATCGTATCATAGATATCTCTAGTGGTGAACGAGATACTGCAACAGAAGTGGGAGGGAGGGAAGAGAATATTACAAAAATATTTCATAAATAAAGAGTTCTTAGAAATAAAAAAATATGATAGAAAAAGTAAACAACTCAATGGAAGCATTAAGAGAAAGCTAAGATTATCTTTCAGAAACTAGAAAAAAGGTCAAAGACCTAGAAAATAGTAGCAAAAAGAGTAGAAAAAGGGCAGACCTGTCAAATATCAAAAAAAAAAAAAAAAAAATACATCTAACAGAATGAGAAAACAAAGGAAAGGAAATTTTTTGAAAAATCTCAATAAACCTCATAGAAATGAAAGATTGTTTCCAAGTACATGGCTGTCTGGGAACCCAGCACAAAGATTGAAAGTGGATTCACACAAGGTACATTGATTACTGTGAGATTTCAGAATACTGGGAACAAAGCAATTATCTGAAGTTTCTGGGGCAAACAAAAAAAAAAACAAGTGATATGTAAAAAGTATCAAGCAACTCAATTGCTCGACAGAAATACGAGACACAGAAGACATTTCTTCAGAGTTCTTAGGGAAAAGTATTTCCAGCCCAAAAGAAAAACATTTTTTTTTTTTTGAGACAGAGTCTCACTCTGTCACCCAGGCTGGAGGGCAGTGGCCCAATCTTGGCTCACCATAACCTCCACCTCCTGGGGTCATGTGATTTTCCTGCTTCAGTTTCCCAAGCGGCTGGGACTACAGGTACTAGATTTGTATCTTCAGTACAGACAGGATCTTGCCATGTTCCACAGGCTGGTCTCAAACTCTTGGCCTCAAAAGATCCACTGGCCTTGGTCTCCCAAAGTATTGGGGTTACAGGCATGAGCCACTGTGCCTGGCCCAGCCAAACTATTAATCAAGGGTAAGAGCAATATGAACATACATATACTGAAACACCCAAGGCCTCAAAAATAGATAATAACTGAAGAGTAAGTCATGAGACCCCAGGCAAGAGGGGAAAAACAAGACAGGCAATAGTACTCTTGTGGATAATGGTGAAAGGACATTTAAAGCTTTTCCTTAAGTGTTTTGTATTAAGAGATTTATACAACAAAGGGAAAGGTTAGAGTTGTCTAATTTTAAGGCACAGAAAACTAAGCCCCACCCCACTCAAGAGATAATTACATTTATTAAATCAAGCGATAACAAAATAATGTTATTTTTTAAAAATGCAGTCATTTCATAGTTCAGCTGTGAATAGCATGTACAAAGTCACAAAAATATAAACCCTAAACATTGGTGTAGCTGAAACTATGATACAATGAAAGAATAGAGAAGGACAGGAAGTATGGGGGTGGGGAAAAGTAAGCAATGAAAGAGAGCGGAATCATCATTTTCCATAGTAGAAAACGTGTATTTAATATCTCCAACAGAAAAATCAACAACTAGCCATACTATGTGCATGCATAACTTTGACACAATTAAAAGCTACATTTTAAAACCATACAGCAACTGCCTAGTTTGTACTGCTTGTAAGTGGTCTAACAGAAGGGCTGGGTTGTAAGTGGTTAACCCTAGTCACATCAGCATGAGAACGAGAGAAGAATGGCATTCCCAGTACCAGTCAGAGTCACGCAGCGTGAGATACCATAAAGACACACATAAATTAACTGGGACAATATTCATCATGAACAAGAGATAAAAAGTCCTTTTGATGCTGTAAGCAAAACATTATGCAGTCAAGAACATGCAAATGGTGACTGCAGAAAAAATATAATTAGGGTCTTGTTGTGTAGAGGGGGAGGAAAACGGATAGGAATTCTAGAGGAATACATTAGGTGGAGCAGGAGGAGGGGATAACTGTGTTTCTACACAAAAGGAACCCACTGACAAGCACAGAAAACTCCACCTCCCACTCAGGGTCTAGCCAACAGGCAATTCTCCCTCCCTGTTGAAGAAAGATACTTTCTTTCCTATAATATGAGAATGGTAGAAGTAAAACAACTACATACTGTTATATTAAGTCTTGTGACCAGTTTCCAAAATCAAATAAGGTCATTCCCACAAAGGCCCTACAACATGATTGGATGTTGATTCAGGTGGTAGAACAGATTTTGATGATTTGAAAATTACAAATGGAGGTAATGGGAAATGTAAATGGATAAATGAGGAAAAACCCAGACTATGCCAAGAATCCAAGCAGAGGACTTTGTTTTCAATTTAAGACACAACTTGAAAACTTGTTTGTAAAAGGATCTTCATTCTCCCATTCCAAAAGAATTACCAGCAAAGAGAAAAAGGAAGATAGCATACTACAGCCAAGGATATTTCAACAGTGAGCAATAAGGGTGGTAGGTCAAAATGATTACTTACAGCTTGGGAATCTTAAAAACTTATGATGGACCGATACGACTAATAATTGTTTTGCAGGCTGAAAAAAGCTCCCAGCTGCTAAAACAAACTGCCCATCAAAAGGACTAGGAAATTCCCATATAAGAAAATGGAAACAACACTAATGGAAACTTGAGAAACAAGACAACATTGGACCTAAAGAGTCTTTTTCATCTGAAAGGACAGTAAATGTAGTTTGTATTTGATTAGAGGACAGTCTAGCAGAAATACTAACAAAATTCGAATGAAAATATGCCATTGCTTCCTCGGATTTCCATTTGGCAGTTCAAGTCTCCCTTGAAGTGAGAAGGATATAATTAGGGGTCTCCAATTTAAACTGTGCTGGTGAATCATAATTGTGATACTCAAGAGTTAGTCATAATAACCCTGTACTGACACAGAGAAGAAATGGGCCTAATTCTGACACTCAAATATGCCTATACGTTAACTAACTTGCTTATTGTGGGAACTACAGTAACTAGTTAAAAGCACATTAGTGAAGTAATATAACAGCAGAACCTATATCCCTTTCTGAATATCACTGAGATGTAGCAATGAATTTTAAAATCACATATTTTCTTTTTTTCCTGTAAAATCAAATGTATTTTCTAATTTTATATATATATACATATACTCATATTTGCACATATATTTCAAGATTTAAAGGTTTACTCATTTAGTTATTAACACCACTTACTATAAAGCTAAAAGTGATTTAAAACCAATATTACATGGCTAGGAACAGTGGCTCACCATGCCCAGCCTGTAATTCCAGCACTTTCGGAGTGCTGGAATTCCAGCACTTTGGGAGGCCAAGGTGGATGGATCACTTAAGGCCAGGAGTTCTGAGACGAGCCCGAGCAACATGATGAAACTTCATGTCTACTAAAAATCACAAAAATTAGCTGGCTGTGGTGGTGCACACCTGTAATTCCAGCTACTTGGGAGGCTGAGGCACAAGAATCGCTTGAATCCGGGAGGCAGAGGCTGCAGTGAGCTGAGATTGTGCCACTGAACTGCAGCCCAGATGACAGAGTCTAGATGACTCTGTCTCCAGCAACAACAACAAAAAACATTATTACAGAGCTAAAGTCTCAGGGAGAAACCTGAGCGCATGGTCATGCTGAATGCCTGCAGTTTGACCTTTTTTTCTCTCTCTTGTTTTCGCTAATTGTAATCCAATTTTTCTAAAAATGTGCAGAAAGACCAGTTCGATTATTAAATGTTTCCTTTAGCAAAGCATAATCCAATTGCTCACAGGAGAAATTTTCATCCTTTCAGATTTCCACAAGCCACAGTAAAAAACATAATTACTTTGGAGAATATATCATAAGCGAGATGTATTTCATAAAGGAAAAGAGAATCTGATTAGAGTTCTATTACATAATGTGTCCTGCCATGACGTTTGTATTTTACTGCTAAGCAATAACGACAATGCAATAAGAAATACACTGTCATACTAACTTGGCATGCAGGAGCATTCGCTTTGCTAGGAAATGTTTCAAAGTGAAGACATATCTTCAGAAAACAGCCTATCACAAGGACCTTGAAATATCCTCAGTAGTAATTTTCCCCAGCTCTACAAAATTGCTAACCACTTATTTGATGTCAGCCCCTTCATAATAGCAAAGAAAAGTTAAGGATGAGAAATCATCAGGAGGCATTTCACTACTAAGAGGAGCAGAAAATGAGGTTGACTCCATTTTTATTCCCCCATCAGGAGTGTGGCACAAAATGGCTCAAGTGTTGCTTAAATCCCCAAGAGATATGAGTTATATAAATCCAGATCAACTGGCAAATAATATATATTTCTCAGTGGCTCTCCCTGAGTACTCCAACAGCACAATCTTGACCACCAAGTGATTCAGAGGCAAACCGGTTCTGAAGGAGAGGAAACTTTCCAGTTCTAAACTGAAGACAAACTGTAAGGGCCAGTTTACTCGCTGACTCACGTCTGCTGTTGTGCAACACATTCTGAGGCCCTCTCTTGAGCTCAGTTCCAGTGGATTAGCGTCACACTAATAAAGATGCTTGAGCTGGAGATCCAGCTCTGAGATTAACACGATCCCCCAGGGGCAGGCAATAGCAAACGTTTCTGTGCCTCATAGCTGGGCATATATTGGCTATTATCACAGGTTTCTGAACCATATTGTTCATTACTGATAAATCCTTTTAAAATCATCCATGTCCTTTTTTCCAAGACTGCTTTGAACAATAAGACAATGAATTCTGGTTAGCACTTTGTGTTTGATATCCACTTCCAGATGGCAAGGGGCAATGCAGTGGGGCACAATTTGAAAGACTAAGATGAGGACTAAATAGAGAAGTGGCTCAGGTTATACTTGCACTTACTCTTTTTATGGGGAGAGGCCAGAAATGAAAAAAATAGAAAAGGGAGAGTGCAAAACAGAAAAACTGCACAAAGTATTTTTTGGTTAATTAATTTTTTTATTTTTATTTTTATATTTTACTTTGAACATGAAGCTTCCCAGCAGACAGCACACAGTTAAATTCAGTCTTACTGCTTCCTAGTGACTCTTACAAACACTTCTGATCCAAATGATCTATTATATTGCAATTTCTTTTCTGTCTACATGACTAGACTTGTTACTTAAATGGACATAGCATTGCAAGACAACACAGGCTGCTTAGCAGTGACTGCCAAAGGCATATAAAGTCAGTTATCAATGAAATAATTTAGTCCTCCAAGATCATTACATGGGATTTTGCTCCAACATCTTTTATCTTTATACATACTACCTTAAATATTTTTCAGTAATTCCCTTCAACTTTATTTAACTTAATCACTCATATCATCTTTCCTCTTTGAAAAAGTTTCCCTATTGAGTTTCAGTTCAGCATTTTTTTTTTTTTTTTTTGAGATGGAGTTTTGCTTGTTGCCCAGGCTGGAATTCAATGGCGCGATGTCGGCTCACTGCAACCTCTGCCTCCCGGGTTCAAGCGATTCTCCTGCCTCTGCCTCCAGAGAAGCTGGGATTACAGGCATGTGCCACCACGCCCGGCTAATTTTGTACTTTTAGTAGAGACTGGGTTTCACCATGTTGGTCAGGCTGGTCTCAAACTCCCAACCTCAGGTGATCCACCTGCCTCGGCCTCCGAAAGCGTGGGATTACAGGTGTGAGCCACCAAGCCTGGCCCCAGTTCAGCTATTCTTATATCCAAGAGGACCTCTATATAATTATGCAAAACTGACTAAATATGAAATCATGTTTAAAATATTCTTGGCTTGGTGTGGTGGCTCTTGCCTATAATCCCATCACTCTGGGAAGCTGAGACAGGAACACTGCTTGAGCCCAGCTTCAACAACATAGCAAGACCTTGTCTCCACAAAAAAGTGGTTTCTTGGGTGGTTGAGGTGGGAGGAGCGCTTGAGCCCAGGAGGTCAAGTCTGCAGTAGCTGTGATGGCACCACTATATTCCAGCCTGGGTGTCAGAGCAAGACCCTATCTCAAAAAAAAATAAGCCAATAATTAATTTAAAATAAATAGGTGGATCACAAGGTCAGGAGATCGAGACCAACCTGGCCAATATGGCGAAACCCCGTCTCTACTAAAAATACAAAAATTAGCTGTGCATGATGGTGGGCGCCCGAAACCCCAGCTACTTGGGAGGCTGAGGCAGGAGAATTGCTTGAACCCAGGAGGCGGAGGTTGCAGTGAGACGAGATGGTGCCACTGCACTCCAGCCTGATGACAGAGTGAGACTCCGTCTCTAAATACATACATACATACATACATACATACATACATACATAAATGTCTTTATACAGGCCAGGTGCAGTGGCTCACATCCACAATCTCAGCACTTTGGGAGGCCAAGGGAGGAGGACTGCTTGAGGCCAGGAGTTCAGGACCATGTCTGTACAAATTTTTTTTTTTTAATTAGCCAGGTGTGGTGGTGTGCACCTATAGCCCCAGCTACTTGGGAGGCTGAGGTGTAAGGACCACTTGAGCCCAGGTGTTTGAGGCTGCAGTGAGTTATCATCACACCACTGCACTCCAACCTGGGTGACAGTCAAGACCCTGTCTCTAAAAAAATGTAAAAAATATTATTTACACAAAAAGAATGCTAAGATGAACGTTATAAAAGACAAAAGTCACTCACACAAATAGAAATTTCACCAGTCATCATCAACATGGGTCTATAACTACCCTTACCACAATGAAAGACACTTGAAAATATGGTTTTTAAGGTGAATTTAGGGCAGTAGATTTATTTTGACTTCCTCATTTCTGAAAAATTAAGAAACTCTTCAATATCTCACTTCCTAATTTACTTTTTATTTTATCATCTTTGCCATCAACGTTTTCATAAAACGACAAAGAAAGCAAAAATCAAATACAATGCTAACGTCAAAACCAGTGAAATTCACCAATTGCCTTCATAACCTCACATGAAAGTAAGACAACCTGAACAGAGATATCTATCCCATTCTGTAGCGTAGGCCAATTAAATAACTTGTCCAACAAGTAACTAGAAGTTCTATGGTTTCACTAAAGCACGTCAGATTCTACACTCAGAGCTCAAATGAGTAGAATCAGTGAGGTTGGGAGAAACAGGAATCATTCAGCTTCTTCTCCAATCTTACATTTTGGTTACAACTTTAAACACACACACACACAACCTACCCCTTTTCCGAGTTTTGAACCGCTGGCCTGTTAGCACTGGCTTCTGATGCTTATTCATAAAATTTCTGAAAACAAAGAAAATAAAGATTATGTATTTCAAATAAGCAGTTTATATGAAAAAAATATGGGCAATAAATTTGGTTGAACATATGTTTAACCTCTCTCATTACTGAATATGCCTTTTATTTTTTAAATTGAGACAGAGTCTCGCTGTCGCCCAGGTGGGAGTGCAGTGGTGTGATCTCAGCTCACTGCAACCTCCGCGTCCCGGGTTCAAGTGATTCTCCTGCCTCAGCCTCCCGAGTAGTTGGGACTACAAGCGTGAGCCACCACGCCTGGCTAATTTTTGTATTTTTAGTAGAGACGGGGTTTCACCATGGTGGCCAGGTCTTGAACTCCTGACCTTGTGATCCACCTGCTTTGGCCTCCTGAAGTGCTGGGATTACAGGCGTGAGCCACGGCGCCTGGCATAAATACACTTTTAAAAATGAGATCTAATTTTAACTCAGACTAGCCAAAATTTTAAAGTTTACCAATACTCAGCGTTGGCAAAGGACACAGGAAAAACCACCACAGACACCAACTTTGATGTAAAGGTTAAACTCCATGAGGAAAATTTCGGTGAGTATCTATAAATATTTACAGGGGCATAACCTTGGTCCAGCAATACCTTATCAGGAATTTATCCTATAGTTATGTTCACACAAGAATGCAAATATACTTGTATATGTAAAAGGATTTAGTTGCAGCATTGTTTTCAGTTGCAGCATTGTTGTATACATAAAAGTGGAACATGAAATGTCCTCAAATAAGCTATAATGTAGCCACCAAGTGGGACACCATGAAGCTTATGAAAGCATGAATTAGATCTAACTGTACTACATTTCTGATCCTGGCTACCTTTCTGACTATATATGTATATTCAATACACATCTTGTCTCATCGCTCATTGAGTTCCAGTCACATTGATCTCTTTGTTCTTCTTCCAATAGGCCAGATAAGGTGTGGCTTCTGAGGCTCTGTTCCTGCCTCTCTTTCAGGAAAGATCTTCCCCAGCTGTCCACATGGCTATCTCCTTGCAATCATTCAAATGTATCCCTGAAAAGGGAGGTCTTCTCTGACCATCTCCACCAAAGTGGCCCGTTGTCAATAGCTCTCCTTACCTAGCTTTATTTTTCTTTAGCAGTGCCTGTCATTTTATTATTATCTCTTTGTCTAGGGTCTATACCCCCAATGAGTGTAACCTCCACTAGGACAGGAACCTTGTAGGTTTTTATTCCATAGAGCTCCTTTAGCTCCTCCATTCTGCACCTTTTACATTGAGCAAAGTATAAACATATAATAAATACTTTTCAAATAAGTTGCTGGACTGATATGGAAAGATGCTCAAGGGATAATGATAGTGGAAAAAAGCAAGCTGAATAAAAGAATGTAAAGTATTTGGTTATAAGGAGGGTGTATAGAATATATGGTTTTCTATGCAACAACAATTTAAGAAGGATAAAGAAACTATTAATAAATTTTTTATTTTTTGGTTTACCTTAATGGACAGGGATTTGAGTACTTCATACTATTTTACTGGATTTAATACACAATTTAAAAAATGTAATATTATCTTTGAAAAAATGTAAGGCCTGCTCCACAAGACTTCTTAAAAATTGAGAATATGCTTGTTGATATACATATCATAAACTGAAAGTATGTCTAGATTGCTTCAATTATGAAGGCCAAATATTCAATATAACATGCATTACTCAAGCAAATTATTTAATTACCTTCCAAAGATTTTAGCATTCATTTGAAAATGTCTAGATTTCCTTAATTACTTATGCCAGCAAACAATAACAAATTTACATTATTCAAGTAATTTAATTACTCCTGAAAGTTTGTTTAAATCCTTAAGAACATGAAAAAAACTATTTATGTACCAAATATTCCTTCTTACTGCATAAAAGAGAAACTTGTAGCTTCACATAATAAAAAATCTGTTTATTATTGAAAACTTCAAGTTAATCATTATTTTAGAAGGGAAACTAATTAAAAGTCACATAAAAACACAAAAAGTAATTACATGGTTTGAGAAATAATTTTTATCAACCCTATAAAATAAAATGAACTTAATACATCACGCTTGGAGATACAAAGGTTATTAAGCCAGAATCCATGCCCTCGAGAAACTCATTGGGAGGGATAAAATTCTAACATTTGCAACACAATGTAATAGTTCAAACAGCAGAAACACAGACCAGTGCAAGAATAAAGTGATTGCTTATGTGTATGGGGCAACAGCAACATATTGAAATCATTACAAATTCTATAAACTTAATCAATGAATTCTCATTTCATTTGATGGATGTTGAAAACAGAGCTTCTAATGCATCATTTATATTCACTGCAAAAGTTTCATTCAGAAACTTTCCTGCTGGCATTATAAACAGATTCACTCTGGATCAGCCAATACTTTATTGTTGCAAAAGTGATGATGATATACATATTATTGTCTCCATATCTTCCATACAAAATGTATTTGTGTTAGCAAAGAAAAATATGTGTCAAAGAATTTGGGTGTTGGGTCTTGTACCAAGATGCAAAAAGAATGTAGCTCAACTAGACAGAAATCTCTCCAGCAGATTTCTCTGCCAAAGATGTTTTTCTTCTTTCTTTCCGTCCTTCCTTTTTCTTTCTCTCTCCTTCCTTCCTTTTTTTTTTTCTCTCTCTACTTCCTTAGAGATGAGAGTGTTACTATGTTGACTAGGGTGACTTCAAACTCCTGGACTCAAGCAATTCTCTCATCTCAGCCTCTTGAGCAACTGGGATTACAGGCACACACCACTGTTCCAGGCTAAAAATGGTTTTTAATTTGTAATTTCAAAAATTCTAAAGTGTGAGTCCCTCCTAAAAGTTTTATTTTGGGGTTTAGAATACAAACTCATGGAATTCCCTAATTAACTCTCTGCACCTTGTTTCTATTATTTCTGTTAATGGAGAAGTACCACCAAACATAGCATATGAAAGAATTACTCTATTTTCAAAATCTTTAGCTTTTATACTTACTTCCTTTCTAAGCATAAAAGTTTGTTTCTTTATAACCCAGCTATGTGGGCTTACTTTTCATACCCTCGATATGTTCCATGTGCACAAACACATAACATGCAAACATAAAAATGTACGCAAAGACTTTGATATAACAACCAAAATTAGAACAAACAAACAAAAACTCACCCACTGGTGGTGACAGACTAAATGAAGATATTCTGCTCTCCAAGAGTGTCTATCCTTTAGCTGTTACTATTTGGAGCAGAGGCCCCGCTTCCCTCTAAATTTAGCTCTTCATGCTACACTATAATCTGCTCCAGTAAGGGTCAGCCTTTATAAGGTACTCACTGAGCCCTTATAAAAGCCCTGGCCTAAGAGAAGCAAGGACACTTTGAATAAGAAACTGTTAGCTTCAACCTAGGAAAATAACAAAGAAACAGTAACAATGACAGTTCTATTAGGCCAATGTCAAAGGCTGTTAGTACACTGCCCTACAATGTAGTTTCAAATCTAATAACTAAAAATACATAAGTTTAAAAAAATAAAAGTTTAACAGTATCCTCAGAGAGAAATCCCTGTGGGGTACAACCTATGCATCAAGACAATTTGGATTCTGTTTTAAAAACTATAAGCCACACACAAAATACGCACATATTCTACCAAAATGGAACAGTTCCATGGTTTAAAATAATATTAAAATTGTATGTAAAATGGTAAACAAAATGGACTTAAGTATTTCACATGTCATCTAAGAGACTACATTTCTTGGATAGTCCATATAAAGAGTAAAAGAAGGTTATAAGAATACTAAAATGATCCAATCAATCAAATATTTAGAAACTTGATACTATATTAATGAATTGAACACTTTTGCAAAAATTCCCATTTTAAGTGTAAATTGAGAGGTTTTTAGGTCTAACCTATTACATCTATTTCTGTTACCTACCTCACTCTGTTAATCTTCTAACTGTCCTAGCATCTTTTTCAAATTCGGTCCCTTAACTCTGGGCTCAGGTGTAACAATGAGCCACATTGGCACAGGTGCATCTCATGGCAACTGTGCACTAATCCTTCCAGTTGCCCACCCCACCTTAAGTGGATTAGCACCTTCGATGTAAACAGATCAGTCTTACCTGGGACTCTTCTTTACTTCTCTCCATTTTGGAAAGGAACTGATCTACCAGAAGACTTACCTTCTAGTTGTCCCTACAAGGGAATGACTGCTCCTGTCTAATTATCCAGCACTTTGGTCTTAGATTCTATTTTTGACTGTTCTTGTCTGACTCATCTTTGAACTATGATAACCTGCCTTACGTAACATGCTATATTACTAACATGTGCTATGCATATGTTATTCAAACAACTTTAACTTTATGAGCATATATACTCTAAAGCAGGGAATACAACATTTTTTGTAAAGAAAATATTTTACTCTCTCTGTGGGATATAAGGTTTCTGTTCCAACCACTCAATTCTGCTGTTACAGTGTGAAAGTAGCAATGGACAATGTGCAAACAAATGGTCATGGCCGTATTCCAATAAAACTTCATATTAACTCAAGTCGTAGACTAGATTGGACTCCCAGGAGGTCCTTTGTGAACTCCTATTCTAGAGCAGTGTATCCAATAGAAGTGACTGTGATGATGGAAATGTTCTATATCAGCACTATCTAATATGGTAGCCACTACTGATCCCTTGAAATGTGGCTAGTGACTAGAGAAATAAATGTTTAATTTTATTTTATTTCCATTAACTAAATTTAAACAGTGTGGCTAATAGTTATGTTGGGCCATGCAATTCTTATGTCCCAAAACACTTAAATTTGATACAAAGGTAAAAATAAATCTAAAGAATAGAAATTTTTAATTAATATTTTTCAAATAAAGTAGCTCTAAGAGTATTCTGCACATATTTCAAAGCCAGGTGGCCATAGTGAGGAAAAAAGAAAAATTACCGCATTTCAAAGTAATATTCTGTGTGCAGTCAATATTGTTTAAGACTTGAGGGAAAAAAGACTTTTTTTTTTTTT